GCTCAATCCCATCAACTATAAAAATAGGTCATTTCTCTTAAGCACTAACATTGCTCGAAAGTTAAATGTGTTGCTTAAATAGACTCCCCCCCCCCCCCCCCCCCCCCCCCCCCCCCCCCGACAATCTTGGGACGTGGCTAGGAAGAATCCCTAGTCGTTTCCTTCATTCATTTTTACGTCTGGAGACACCTCCCGTTGTTGGTCGCCTTCTTTCGTGGGGATTTCTTGTGCTCTGGAAGTCCTCTCTCTCTCCTTAATGGTTGTTTTGTCTTTCTCCCCAATGATTTTGTTTTCTTGTAACTTTGTTCTCCTTATTTGATCTTTCCACCTTACTCCAACAATGGCGGTTAATCAAAGGTTGGAGGACCATGATTTTTTTAACGGCAAAACCAACAATCACTATTTTCTTGATGCTATGTCAGAGGCTCCTTTGGTTCCCTTTGCATACCTTAAGACCTCAACTTTCCAAGGGTTGTCTTCTCTATTGATTTCATAGGAAGAAGTGCTTGCTCTTGCTGCCCCATTTGCATTTTCTATTGTCGGTTATTTCCCTAATCATGTCCTCTTTGGATGTAATTAGGAAATTCTTTTTTAATTTGAAATTAGCTGGTGTATTCTCCGCCACCGTCCTGGATTCTTATCATTTGTTGATTAAATTGCAATGTGATATGGATTATTCCAAAATTTTTTCTCACCATTCATATTTTTTAGTAACTACTTCATGAAATTGATTAAGTGGTCGCCTTTTGTGGATATTACGGAAGAATCCCCTATTGTTCTGGTTTGAATTTCTTTTCCTAACCTCCACCCTCATTTTTTTGCTCCACATATCCTTTACGATTTTGGCTCCATTTTTTACCGTCCATTGTGTACTGATGCTACTACTGCTATTGGCTCACGTTCGTCAATTGCTATAGTTTTGGTGGAGCTCTATATAATGAAAAGCTATTTTGATAAGGTTTGGGTTGGCCTAGAAAATTTTGGGCATGCTCAAAGTGTTGTGATGGATGAATTTCCATCCTATTGTGATCATTATAAATCTTTAGGTCATTCTAAAAAGGAATGTGCCCGCCTTCATCCTCATTTACTTTTGGCACCTTCCTTGCCTAGGTTGAACGTGAACTATGGTGGTATTGTGTTGGATTCTCAAGTTAACCCTACTGACAATTTGGGTGATATGCTTCCTAATGATGCTCATGATAATGCTATAGGCAATGATTATGTTAACTTATCATTGAATGATAATGTGAATGATTGTATTAACTAATCATTGAATGATAATGTGAATGTTAATGGTGTGGTTCACTTGGAGAATGAAAGTATGCTACAACCTTTGAATAATGTGGTTGTGGGGCCTTCATCCGAACCCTTTGATTTGGCCTCTAAAGGCCTTATTGCTTTTCCCGGTCTTGCTTCTGTGTCGAATTTGGATCAATGTGTGGCTTTAATTGATTCTCCTATGCTTATCGTCAATAATCTGGATGGTGTGGGACTTGCTTACAATTTGGCTATAAATTCAAATGTTGGTCAAACATATGCTTTAGTTGTTGTGAAGGATTCTTGTATTATTAATATGATAGTCTTAAATGGTTCTTATAGTAATGATATTGATGGTACTCCTCTAACTTATATAGAAATAAATTTATCTAATAAGATTGGGCATGAGTTTAAAGATTGTGAACTTGCTGCTACTCCTTTGCACAAGTCTCTGCTTGAGGTGCCTTTAGGGGTGTTATCTCCTAATAGGTTTTGTGCATCAGTTTCTAATTTGGGGGTTACTTGTCTTGTGTATGGTTGGCATGAAGAGACGCCTTCATCGCCTGGTGAGCAAAAGGAATCATTATAGGATTTGTATGCTTTGATTGTAACCAAGGTTGTTGAAAAAGCCCATTCTCGTGCTAGCAAACATTGTAGGAGAAAGCCTAGGAAGTTTGATCTTTGATTTGGTGGGACTTTTGGCAATGGCTGACTCATTATAAGGAATTGACATTGGGTTTTGCTTTCTGGTCGTTGTGATTATGTTTGGACAATGATGAGGCATATTTCCTTCATGCACCCTGGACGGCCTAGGATGATTTAGCAACCTTGGTGGTTCGTATTGCTAATTTGTTGGTCTTCTGATGCTGCTTTCCCTCCCTCCATATATGGCCCTTGACTGGCAAATAGGCGTCGGTCTGAGTCATGTTGCTTTTGGGGCAATATTTGATTTTTTTATCAAATTGTTTGTTTCAACTTGATGTTGTTGTTGTTCTTTTATTCTTATTTGGATTTTTTTTAATTGGGTTTTTTATTATTTCTCCTTGTATTGTGTAGGTTCTAAAGCTCTGTAGGTTTTATTTCAATTGTTGTCCTTTTAGAGAGCTTCTGATCTTTTAAGGTATTGTGCTTTTTAAATGGTGTAATGTGATTGTTCTTTTAAAAAAAAGGCGGCTTCTTTCACCCATCACCCTAAAAAGCAACTAGCTTAGTCTTTGAATGATTTTTTTTTTCTAATTCATATTGGGAAGGCTCAATCATCTATAGAGTTTAAGATGTCCTTGTTGGATTCTTATAAAGAATAATCAAATCTTACAACCATGTCTCTCATTTTGAGTTGATAATTTCTCTCATTGCCATCAATGATGTAGTGATGTGTCCACTTTAGGGGATTAAACAAATTGAGTCAATTTCGAGCTCGAATCACTCCTAGCCTGAGCTTAGGTAGCGAGTTTGTGTTTACTCATAAGTTAGCTCATTTATTATGAAAGCAAGAAAAGAATTTTGATTCAAGCAATTGTTATAAAATGATAAAAAAATTGAGACATTAGAATAAAAAGAATAATATATCTCCTTATGTAAGGAATTGAGATATAATTTTTAAACATTTTAATAACTTTTCATTTAAATTCTTTAATTCTAATATATTTTAACTATATTTTTTAAACTAGTCAGCTTGTGCAAATTTGACTCATTAGTTTGAGCTAGCCTAGTCTTTGAATGATTTTTTTTTTCTAATTCATATTGGGAAGGCTCAATCATCTATAGAGTTTAAGATGTCATTGTTGGATTCTTATAAAGAATAATCAAATCTTACAACCATGTCTCTCATTGAATGATTTGAGCTCGACTCTATAGATGATTGAGTCTGAGCTAGCCCAAATTATCTTCCCAATATGAGAGACATGGTTGTAAGAAGCTTGAGCTAGCCCAAATTTGACTCATTAGTTCATTGAGCTCGACTCATGAGCAATTAATCGAACCAAGCCTGAACCAACTCACGGGTTGGGTTGACTCGCTTAAAGTACCCCTAGTCCACTTATCTTCTTCACTTTTAAAGAGGCATCTTTGTGGCAGTTCCTTATCTTCCTTCAAGAAGCTTGACATTTTTCTAAATTTTGGTGGTAGTTTATCACATAATTCATGAGTTCTCGAAAGTTAATGAAGAAGACACAAGCTCTATTAAAATGAGGTAAGAGTAGAGATATTGGATTTCCAACATTTGAAGCTTATTATCACCGAAGCACCCCACACATAGGACCTCTAGGAAGATCTATTTCTTAATACTCTCAAATTGTAGCATCCAAATACATTGCTCGAGCTGCTTGATTTAGCCAATAATTTTATTAATTTGTAGGGGAGTACATCATCAAAGTTAGTCATTAAATAATAAGGATAAGTTTGTCGAGAAGTCTCATCACCACCACTAGAAATAACACAAGATATTATATTGAGAAGCACTTAAGAGGTTTATCAACCTATAACTCCTCAAAAAGGATGAGACAACCTCTACACTCGAGGTAAACAATGTATACTCTACTCTAACTATCATTAATTAGATTAGGGATGTCATATATGGAAATTGATTAGGAGTATTTTTATTAACCCATATCGATGCCTAAAACATTGATTGCCCTATGACCCATCAAACTATTGTCTTTTATAAAGACCATGGACAAAATTTATCACCACCTTTACTAGCTATATTTTAGGTGCTCATTAATGCAAACAAGATGTAGGACTTTGCCTCTGCCAACCCAAGACAATGAATCAACAAGATGTCGCACATACAAAATTATGTATATTCAAGATAAAAATTATTCAAAATAATATGAAATTTGAATATTGAGTTTTATCTAATAGTATAGCTCCATTAGGTTCACCTCTTGTTGCGGATGAGGAGTAAACACCACAATGACGAAACAAATAAGGAAGTAAAGGACACCAGAATTTAACGTGGAAAAACTCAAAATATGGAAAAAAAATCATGGAGCCACACCACACCAAGAGATCCACCGTGAAAATTGAGAGAATTAAGTACTGATCTCTATTCTCTCTCTCTCTTTCCTTGCTTCTCTTCTAACTTGCACCATTGTCAATGTCTACACACTCAAAAATACAGGAGAAAGCCAAGTAAAATAACCCCAAAGAATGCAACCCTTCAGAAAAACAAAAAAGAAAACCGTCATATCCGTCTCGCAGCACTATGGCGCTAGTTTGGGGCGGTGCAGCGCCAATCCTCAGTCTTGATCCGCTGCAGCGTCATATCTAGACTGCTGTGGAGTTCCGCTCTCTGTCGTTCATCGCTACTCCATATAAAAAAATTTAAGAGTTTTCAGATTGATTTGAAACCTGATCAAACCTAAAACAATCGGATTAACCCATTCAAAAGTATTATGATCAAATAACTATTTGAGTTGAATTTCAATCTAATTTAACCTTCCCAAAATTAAGCCATTGACTTCAGATCTCCAAAATTCAAACCCCTTTGGACCCCACCAAAACATAACTCAAATGCAATTAAGCAATTACCAAACCCTAAATCACCTTAATAAAAAGTCAGCAATATCAGGCTCGGTCTGCCATTCTCATATCGAAAATTAAAATTATTTCATTTTCTTCAATAAATAAAAACTAACGGCTGAGTTATTTAACAGACACGAGTCAGGTTCCCTATTAACTTTATATAATAAATGAATAATAATAAACTGGAGACAAGTCGGGTCCCCGCCCATTTGTTCATACCAAGTCCGCGTCCGCGTCATCGTCCGCGTTCATCAGCGTGACTTCTCCAGCTCCAAAACGAACGGTTCTTCCTTCCTTCCTTCAATCCGTCAATCCTTTTTTTTTATTGCTAAATTTATTACATTAACAATCAGTAAATAGATTTCAATACTCCTATATAAAGTTCCAAACTTTCATGGAATTGGAAGACAACGCACCGCAATCCCCACCAAAGTTGTTTCTTTCCAGCGAATTACGCCCAAAACACTATCCTTTTGGGTTTTTGAGCGAACCCTAGAAGGTTTGGAAGAGGTGGTTGAGATGGATAGTGGTATCATTCCCATGTGGCAGCCTCTTTGTCTCTCTGGCCTTCTTGGATTTGTTGTGGCGGCCTCGCTTTTGGGCATAACGAGGAGATTTCGATCGATTGTGCAGCCATGGGTTGTTCGTCGCGTTCAATCCGATCTTCCTCTTATTCTACAGATCCAGGTGAGCTTTTTTACATCATCGTTTTATTCTATAAGGTTTGATGAGTTCTGCGATCTGATTGTATAAAGATTGTCGCAGAGATGGCAGCATAGGTTCTTCGATATTTTCTTCTCCGTTGTCTCTTGTCTTGTCTCCGTTCCATTCTATACCGGATTCATCCCTATTCTCTTCTGGGTATGTCTTGTTCTTTCTTCCTTCTTTTGTTTTTATTATTATTATTATTATGTTTTTCTCTTCTGTGTGTGAAATCATTGATTGAGATTTTGGTTTTGGGGGTTTTTGTAGAGTGGGCATAGCAAATTGGCGAGGCAGGTGGCTTTGCTTATGGCTTTCTGTGATTATATTGGGAATGCTATTAAGGTATGTTTGATAATCTTTACCTGTTTGTTATTATATTCTGCTAGCACTGGAATTGAACGTTAATTGTTTGATTTAATCAATGATTAGGATGCAATATCTGCCCCAAGGCCGAGCTGTCCTCCGGTGAGGAGAGTGACAGCTACAGAAGATGAGAAAGAGAATGCAATGGAGTATGGATTGCCTTCTTCCCATGCTCTCAACACAGTTTGTCTTGCTGGGTATGTATATGATCAATTATAACTATTTATGTTTCTTTCTGTTGATTTAGTAATTAGCCTTCTTGGTTAGTACTGATTTGCTTCATTTATGGGCTTTTACAGATACTTGTTGCACTATGCACTAACAACATATGGTCATGAAATGAATGGTTTCAGAGTTTTGATTGGATTCTCCTTAGTTTTCTTGCTGGTCTCTCTGATTGGCTTGGGTAAATATTATCTTCTATGGATAGTCTTCAACGTGCATACAAAAATTTCAAATTTGTTATTGGAATATAAGCTTTATTACCTCTTTATAGGGAGGATATACTTGGGCATGCACAGCTTCATCGATGTTGCAGCTGGAATCACCATGGGGCTTGTTGTTCTTGCTTTCTGGCTGATTGTTCATGACTATATTGATAATTTTCTCACCTCTGGACAGAATGGTATGCAGAATTTGATTGCTTCATTCAAACGTTAGTGATGATAGCTTTTGTTTTCATATTTCTTTTGTTGATTGTTTAAAGGTTTTGTGATTTTTTTTTTACAGTTACATCTTTCAGTGCTGGCCTCTCCTTCGTACTACTTTTTGCTTATCCTACACCTGAGGCCCCAACTCCAAGTTTTGAGTATCACACAGCTTTCATTGGCGTTGCTTTTGGATTAGTAAGTTCTATGATTCTTCTGCATCTTATGCTACTCAGAGTGCCATACAATTCTGCCATCATATTGCAACTTTCTTATGTGAAAAGAATCTAGGTTGTAGTGTTAATTGAGTTTAGAAGTTAAACCAAACAGAAAAATGGAAATTAGTGGAAATTGAAGCTATTCTTAATGTTCATTTTACAAACAAGAAATTGAAACATATTTTCTCAGAAAGTGTCAGAAATTGATCAGATTGCTAAACCTTTCATCTTGTTCCTTGATGATTGGGAATACTGAATTAATAGATGATAAACCTAGTTTAGATTTTAATTCTAATTAGCAATTGTTTGTCCAAGGAAATGAACGCTTGAGCTCTGAAAACTTTTGGCTGGCAAAAGATTATTGATAGTTTATCAGAATTGTTTGCTGACCAAACTTTTGTTTTGATTCTTTGCAAAACCTCTAACTTAAGCTTTGTTTGGGACGGCTTTCTCAATGCTTCTTAAAGCAGCTTTCTAGTATCAAAATTTTAACTTTTTAACTAGAAAGCTATTTTAAGAAGCAATAAAAAAGTCATCCCAAACGAAGCCTTAAGCTTTGTTTGGGATGGCTTTCTCATTGTTCTTAGGGCAGCTTTTTAGTACAAAATTTTTAATTTTTATGCCAGAAAGCTGCTTCAAGAAGCAGTAAGAAAATCATCCCAAACGAAAACTTATACTCAAATCTGCCTCTTTGATACAATGGAATTGAGAATCATGATAAGAATCATGCATATTTGCACCTGAATTCATTATATGGTTAGATTAAATTTGTAAAGGTTGAGCTTTTAGATTTGATTATACAGTATAGTTTGATTTGAAGCACATAGAATTTAAAGTAAATATCTAAAACCTAAATACAATCAATTAATTAATTTATATCTGTGAAGATAATATGCTTTAACTGTAACATACAGAGAAATCTCTTGTTCTAAGTTCTAAACTAGTTTATCTACACTAATTGTTCAGGTCAGTGGCATCCAACAAACCTATCTTCTATTCCACTCGGAAGACGTTCCTCGTATATTCAGCCCCGAACTTTCCATCCTCGTCTTCTTTGGAAGGTTATTGGCAGGCATTCCTACAATCCTAATAGTGAAGTTCTGCAGCAAAGCTCTTTCCAAGTGGTTACTTCCAGTTATCTGCAACACTTTAGGAATTCCAATAAGGTCATCTTGCTATATTCCTGCACTAAAAGAATCTGATAGCAGCAAAAACAAATCTGATAATAAGCAGATTGGTTATCTTCAAAGAGCAATTTCTTTCTTGCCTTACAAGACCTATGATGTTGATACAGGAATAAGGTTTCTTCAATATGCTGGCCTGGGATGGTCTGTTTCTGACTTAGTTCCTCATCTTTTCACTCGCTTATCTTTGTCTTAACTTATCTTCATCTTAGTATTTGTAATCTATATGCACCCTCAATTTGGTGTATTTTTATTTTTTTTCTCTTTTGTATCAGAAAAATCACTTTTAGACATGTTTATAAGCCAATCTGTACCAGTAGAAAGCTTTGTTTGGGATAGCTTTCTTACTGCTTCTTAAAGCAGCTTTTGAGTATCAAAATTTTTAATTTTTTACTGAAAAACCGCTGTATGAAACAGTAAGAAAGCCGTCCCAAAGAAGCTTACTGTTTTTCTGTAAATTGTTTATTTCTTTTGAGATCAACGTTTGATTCCAATTTTTTTTTTTTCTTAATATTTTCATGAATGATTTTGTTCAAGCCTGGCTCCTGCTGTCATCAAACGCTTATATATTTATGGACTCGTTTGGCTCCCACCGACTTTTTTTTCTGTTTTAAATGGAGGTTTTAGAACGGAGAAGCAGATTTTTTATCCTTCTCAAATCGGCGAAAAAAGGACGGTGTGGCAAACGATAGTTTTAAAACGCCGCCTAAACAAACAATTAAATTATAAAATTTTCACGGATCCAAACTGAAAACGGCGAAATTACGGTAAATCAAACGGGCCCTATATTGTTGAGTAACTGTAAAAATCTACTGCTTTGGAATGTCCAAAGCTGTCCAGATTTTTTCAAATTGTGAATGGTTTTTCTTGTCTTCAACAATGTTCTGTAGAGGGAGCTTTGAAGGCAGACTTATTCAAATTTATTGAAGAAATCAGTCAAATAAGAAACAGCGTAAACTGGTCAATCATCTAACCTTATAGGTAGAACGGTATAAGTGGTATGCTTATAATTATTTTTATTGTTATTGTAAGAAAGTTTTATTAAATTTGGATAAAAAAATAAATAAATAAGTTTTAAGGTTTGTATGTGTACAGCAAAAATTAAAACTATTAAATAACATTAATAACAATTTTAATTTATATGATTATCTGTTTTTTCTTTTTTCTTTTTTTTTTGGTATGTAATTATTTTTAAATAAATGGATTGAATTTGAATAATATTTTTTGAATTTTAATAAATTGAAGCCAACGGCCAACTAATCAAATTAAATGTCAATTAATACCTGCAATTTGGTGTTGTTTATAGTCTTTACGAGACATAAGGAGAGTTCAGATGGATTTAAAATAATTACTAGATATTTATTTTGATAAATTTATTTGGTGAACATTTTAAATGTAATTTTTTATCCAAAATCCAAACTATTCATAAAAAATAAACAAAATAATCAAATAAAAATTAAGGGACAATTTTATTTGCTGAAAAAGAAATGTAATGTACTTGAAAATTTAGATATTTGATTTGATAAAAAAGGAATAAAACATACAATTTCAATGAATTCTCTTTCATACCAATTTCTTATGTTTTAAACTTGTCCAATTTTGTCTAAATCATGTTTTTCACGGCAAGTGCCATCGCGGGCATCTGACCACCCCTAGCCGCCAACTATCACTGACTTCCCCCGCCAACCGTGTCTGCCGCCTATGTCGGTCTCTAGCCGATTGCCACCGCCGGCTACTTATTGCTGTTATTGCAGCCGACTATGTCTTTATTGTCAGTAATATTGCATTATCAAACAGCAAAATAAAAATCTCTTATATTTTTTTACACTCATTCAAACAACTTCAACAATTCAAGTACTTTTTTTTTTTTTTTTTGCCTCTAAGTTAGATTGCATTGCCAAAAATGCTAGCAAAGGTAGCTTCTTAATTAAAAGAATTTTGTTGGGAATATATATACATCACAAATTTTTATTTATTTATCTATCTAATATTTAAATCATTTGTTTTAATTTGTATGTTATTTTAGCATCTAAATCACATAGTAAATATTTAGAAAAAAATAGTAGCGTTTTATTTAGAAATAATAATAATTTTATTAATATTTTAATAACTTTTTGAGATTTTAATGTTATATAAACAAATATAAAAATTTAACGTTGGATATATAAATAAAGATAAATTTTGTGAGTGATATATGAAATTACAATAAAATAAAATAAAAGCCATTTCATAAAAGTTGAGCAAGTGAATTAGAGCAAACCGTGTTCATAATCTATTATGTAAATTAAAATATTATGAACATGGTCATTGAGTTTAAAATTAAATTATAAAAAAGCCCTTCGTGGATATCTTCTGTAAATTTAGATTATAATACTCTCTCTACAATAGGCCAAAGGGGAAAAATTAAACCTACTTCCACTGGGGCGACATATGCCATCTTTCTTATGTAGAAGCTTCTAAGTTCAAAACACTGAAAGATAGTAACAGTAATGATTACAAAATATATAATATACATTAGCATATACTTCTTCTTCTTCTTCTCCATCCTCCTAATGTCATCATTGATTGAATTACTTAAAATATTTTGTTGTCACAACTCTTTCAATACAAAGCGCTGTATGGGTGGGTATGGATACACATATGATCTCATGGGTGGGTAAACATCGAGGCATAATTTGATTTACATTATTAATCACTGTATGCCTTATATTACTACAATCCTTACTACGCAATGTACAGTACTGAACCACGCTGTGACCATGATAAATTCTGATATGTGGCTTGAAAGTTTGTAATCATAACAAAGGGCAGTAAGCCTCAAAGTCATCAGTTTGTGGCAGAATGTGTTCAAAAAATATGGAAAATGGATGAGTATGGCATCCGGAAAGTCATCATGGGTCGGCGTGGGTGGGCGAAGCCCATCCTCGTAGAGCATAGGTACCTAATGGGTACCTAACCAGGACCCCATGTAGGGTTTTGTTTCAATATGGATCCTAAGTTTCCTTTAGATCTCTATGATGCGAATCGGATATAGCCATATGTGATATTCTTGATGCGACCGCCAAAATCATACACTAAGCCTTCGGCCAAGCCCCTCGCTCTAACTTGCATTTTACATTGAGTTCAAACTCATGTTGAGTAACACTCACCGTCTCACTTTTGGAGATCATAGCCAATTTTTATTTTCTTCTATGGATGAATACTCCTTTTGAATAACATAACTTAATTGAAAAATCATTGATCAATTACATTAAAAAAAATCATTTTATTTACTTATCATAAGAAATAACTCATTCATTTCACAGTTACATATGCTTACCAATCAACGACCTTAATGATAAAAAATGAAAGATTATTTAAGCTTTATTTGTCGCTTTTCCATAGATATTCATCAAGGCTTGCTATTAAAGATAGAATTTCATACCATCTCCATTTGGTGAATCCTTATTTAAAAAATAAAAATAAAAATATAAAGATATCAATCATATTCTCATTATTTACCATATACTAATATAAGATTCACAATGATGATAATCATCATAAATTTAATAAAATTATTATCTAAACATCACTAATATCTAAATAATATTAAACCAAATGACACCTAAGCATAATTGTAAGAACTATCTTTGTATAATTCCACACATATTTACTCATTCCACCTTCATGTTTGATTCATTCCTTCTTAACTAATGTTTGAGTTCTACTTTGTCTATTAAAAGCTTTACTTCTTTTCATCTTAAATTAAATATTTTTTGCTAAGATTATTTTAAAACTTTTCACTAATACTTTAATGTATAGTAAGGGTTTGTTTGGGACAACTTTTTTACTGTTAATTTTTGAACTAAAAAGTTGCTTTAAGAAGCAGTAAGAAAGCCGTCTTAAAATAATTTTTCTGTATAATTTTTGTACTAAAAAACTGCTTTAAGAAGTAGTAAGAAAGCCGACCCAAATAAAACCACAGTCGTTGTGTGTCTGATCACTAATCAAGAAAAGAAAGGTTAACTGATGTAGGTCACTCTAACAAATCACGATTGCCGCTAGATCGTTAGGGGTTGAGGCGGAGATATATCGATGAGGATTCGCAATAACAATAAGAATTACGTGAAGAAGAGGAAGAAAAATAACGAGGATTAGGGTTCATTAATTTGATTTGTCAATCGTTTACAACTAATAAGTCAAATCAATAAAAATAAATAAATGATCAATTAGTCTTAAAATAAAACATTTGTCATAGGGCCTCATGACTGATCATAGTGAAAGGAACATTATTTTTTTTAATAGTGGTTGTTAACTTAGAAAAAAAAAATCTCAGTGTATCATTTCAATAGTTAAATAGTATTAGGGTTAATTTGAGCTTAGTTTGCAACGATTAATCCAATGGATAAGCACTGCTAATAATATATTTTTATGTTAGATTTTTTTTTTATGTCAAACTTATTAAAATATTTCTTAATTTATTAAAAATTTTGTTGTCAGCATGTCGTCTGATATTTAATATATTCACATTCAAATAATATAAAAAATATATTCCTCCCATTACAATCTCGCCACAACATCATCAATCCTGTCCTCCTTCGCACACTATCAGTCATCACTGAGCTTCTCTCTCTCTCTCTCTCTCTCTCTCTCTCATAATATTGTTTATGTTTATTATATATAAATGTCTCAATATTTTAATATCCTCATATACATTTCACAACAAATATCTTCATTGTTTTAATTTATCTGTAAATCAAAATCATGTAACGTTATAGAATATATTTATAATAAAAATGCTATATGAATTTTTAACCCAAGCAAAATATCTAATAGTTATCATAAATGAAGAATTAAGGCTCCATTTGGGATAGCTTTCTTATTAATTTTTTTAGATCGTAATCGTAATTTTTGTTTGGCTGCTACTTTTTTGTTGTTTTCAAAAAAAAAAATTGTTAGGAACCTGCTTTCTACAATAAGTTTAGGCCGGCTTTGTTTGGAACGGCTTATTACTTATAAAAGTAACTTTTTAGTGCAGAGAAAGATATTTTAAGAAGCAGTAAGAAAGTCGTCCAAATGAAGCCTTAAAAAGTTATTTTCTCTAGAATATTTTTATAAATCAATAAGAAAGTCGTCCCAAACAAAACCTAAAGCTCGTCTGTAGCTCCAACAGTCAAGATAATGCAAAAAGAAGAATTACATAAAAGAAAAACAAAAAAAGAAAGAAACCCAAGGAAGAAGAAGAACAAATCAAAGGAGAAAAACCTATAGTCTTTCATTAACTTGTTAGGGAATGGCACAACCAATTATTCATCTTCCCACAATGATTACAGCCTCGTTAGGTATCTTATGAACCCTAACCCAAACAATCCTTAATAACTCATCAAATAAAAAAATAGGTTTTATACAATTCTTCTTGAACAATATTTTTCTACTGACACACATGGGCGGATCCACCCATAGCTTAGGGTGTGCAAATGCCCACCCTCAAAAAATTCTTTTTAAATATTTAGAGGGGAGATTT